TCTACCACAATTTGTTGCCTGTAAAATAAGGGAATTAGGCTAGTGAAGTTCTGAAAGTTAAGATTCTCTGGTTCGGTCTCAGGTTTACTGGTTTATAATTACTTGATATGCAACTTAAAAGGATGTTTATTATACCAGAAATTGATGTTTTGCAAATCAACCCTTTTCTAATTTTTCATAATCAAAGCGTGAAAAGGAGTAATCATTCTTTGTATCTCTAATTCTGATAAGATCATCTTTTCAAGTAACTATATTAGTTAGTTTTTATAATGATAATTTAAAGATTTGGAGGTGACTTTAAAAAATTTTAGTTATTAATACCCTTTATATATACTGTAATCTTTCACATTTATCTTTTAATGAATATCTTTTCATTGTAATTGGTTGAGACAGTACTGAAGGTATAGAAACCAACGTGTGGAATTCCCTCTGATACATCCTCCCATTTTGAAGGAAGCAATCACAATTAATAAGTTGAGATTCAGCCTTGCAATTTTCTTTCTGTAATTGTATATATGAATATTAATTTATATTTTTTTCCATAAATGGGAATGTAGTATATATATTCTGTTAGTTCATTTTTTTGTTCAGCAGTATCTTGGAGATTTTTCATCTACACCAATAATGTGTCTGTGTCATTTTTAAATGGCTAAATAGTATATATACGTAGTAACCATTTGTTTTTTATCACTACAAAATGATGTTACATGAACATCCTTGCAATGATGTTACATGAACATCCTTGCAAGCATACATTGTTCAGAGATTCTTTTAGAATATGTGCCCTGTGTGTGTAATGGCTAGATCACAAGGCAGCACACTGAAAATGTTGGTAATTACTGTCAAATTGTCTTTCTAAAAGTCTTAGCAAATTTACATTTTCACTAACAGGGATCAAGAACGTCCAGTTATTCTCACTATTGCCAAAATGGCACCACTATTTTAAAATATTTTCCATTAAAAATTACATTTCGTTATTTTAAAGTTATATCTAGGATAATTGAGCATCCTTTTATTTGTTCATTGGCCATTTGTATTTCTTTTGCTGTGAATTGTCTTTATGCATTTTCCTGATAATCTTTTTAATATAAGAAACTTTCAGCTGTATTTTGTGCACAAATCTTTGATTTTAAATACCTCCATCTGGGTTTATTCTAAATAATTGGCCAGTTGACCCATTGCTATTTGTTGTATAGTCCATTCCTATCTTAGTGACCTGAATGTTCCTTTCATCTTATTCTAAATCTTCATGTATGTACAAGTCTATTTTTGGACTTCATATTCTGTTCTTTTTGTTGTATTTCCTAGCTCCTTTACTGATTGTCTACTTCTGATTACAGTAGGTTATGGTACTTTTTCAATCTGAGAGCACACAAACATTGTCTTTCATTTAATTTTTTCTCAGTTCTATTTCCTGTTCTTGTTCTTTTTTCTCTCTCTTTTCCTTCTCTGTTAGCTACTATTATCTTACTCTTTCTTGATAAAGCCTATTCTACTTTCTGCTGATTTATGGCTATTAAGTTATGTGTTAGGTAGAAAATTAGATAGCAGACTCCTGGTATTTTAGATAAAACTGGCTACAAAGTGAAAAAAATGGGCAGAATGCTCATACTTTAATGATTAGAGTTTGTGGGATATGTTTATTTTCTCAGTGACCTAGATGTTTTTGTTTCATGGTTCTTGATAGTATTCTAAATCGTTTATATTACTGAACATACAACTTCTACATGAGTATTAATGTAAAGTCATTCTTAAGTAGAAGATAAGTTTAAATCATCTCACTGAACAATTCTATTACTATGATATTGTCAGTAGAAGGAGTCTGTAGGGAAGTGAAATAAATATAGCCAAGCCCATATGGGCTTTCTTTCCTAACAGTATATTAGGAATAAAACTGGAAGAAAAAAATAAAAGATACAGGCAATAAAGTATACTCTTCCTACTTTAAATCAGCTATGTTGTTGTTAAGTGCCATCGAGTCAGTTCTGACTCATAGTGAGTCTGTTTAGGGTTTCTGAGGAGCAGCTGGTGAGCTTGAACTGCCAACTTTGCAGTTCAAATGACATTTCAATCCAGCTCATTAACCCACAGCGCCACACCAGGACTCCTAAATCAGCTATAGCAAAATGTTATTATAAGAATAACATCTTTTGGCATGGAACTTCTAAACTTAAGGTCAGCTAAAAAAAATCTATCTCCTGTTTATTCTTTTGAAAAAATAAAGCTCTGTGGCCTTGGACAGCTGTAGCCTTTATTATACCTGCATTGTTAAACTTGATAAGAAACTTTGTTGTTGTTGTTGTGCTATTGAGTCGGTACCAACCCGTAGCGACCTTATGCACAGCAGAAGTGACCATTACTATTTGTGTTTTGCAAATGAATAGATTAAATATGTTTTTATTTATAATTATAAAAATATAAAGAACATTGTTGTTAAGTGGTTCCAACTCACTGCAACCCTGTATAGAGTTTACGAGGAAAAGCTGCAGTTCAAACTGCCTTTGTGGTCTAGTGCTTATCTTGTAGTGCTATACCAGAGCTCCTTAAAGAACTAACATTTGCAAATTCAGCATTTCTCGCATATAAAATTCAGTAAAACCAATTACATTAATTATGTTGTGCAACCCTTTCCAGTATCTGTTGTCATAGTTTTCATCCCCATAAACAAAAACTCTTATACTACCTAAGTAGTGATTCCCCCCTTTTCCTGTCCCTCTAGCCCTTGATAACCACGATTAGACTCTAATCACTATACTTTTGCCTATTGTAGATATTTCAAATTAGTGAAATCATACAACATTTGTCCTTTTGTGATAGACTAATTTCATTCAGCATGTTTTCAAGGTTCATTTCATATTGTAGTATATATCGGGACTTCATTTTTCTTTATAGCAGAGTAATATTGCATTTTATCTATGTACATTTTGTTCATCCATTCATATCTGTTGATGGGCACATAGCTTGAGCCCACCTTTTAGTTACTGTGAGTAGTACTTAAATGAACAATGGTTTACATGTGTCTGGTTTCATCGTTACTTTCAAGTTGCTTGGCTATATATCTAAGAGAAGAATTGCTGGTTCCTAGTTCTGGTGCGGTGCTGCAGGTTAAAGCACTAAACTGCAAAATCAGTTTGAACTGCCAGGTCAGTGGTTCAAGCTTACAATGCTCTTCCAAAACCCTGTACAGGGTCGCTATGAGTCGGAACCAATTCGATGGCACTTAACAACAACAAAAGAAATTTAATAATTTCCTTTTTAGGAACTGCCATACTGGTTCCCGAGTGTCTGTACCATTTTGCATTCCTACCAGTCATCGATAAGTAATTTCTGCATATCCTATATTCATTGTTTTCTAATTTTTGAATATTAGTCATCCTGGTAAGAGTGAAGTGATAACCTCATTATGGTTTTGATTTGCATCACCCAAATGACTAATGAAATTGAGTTTCTTTTCATGTGCTTTCTCATCCTTTGTTTATCTTACTTGGTGAAATGTCCATTTAAGTCCTTTGCCCATTTTGCTCCTTTTAGGTTTTGCTTTTCTTTATAATATCAATGTCATTATGAGTGTGTCTGTGTATACATTAAGTACTACTCTGGAAATTGACATTTCTCTTACTTCTATCAGGTAGGTTATTAAAGAATTTCTAGCAGGCCACCTGGGAGATAGAGAGGCACCTATATTCTTTCTAGACATTTCAAGCTTAGTCTGCCAGAAGTAGAATGATTTTATATTAAGATTATCATCTGGAGAGAAAAAGCAGATGTCACTTAGGCAAAAAAGTCTCCTTTTATGCTTAGGAGTTTCTGAAGCTACATATATCTGTATTTAGGGCTTGAGTTGAGATCATAATACTATATGACAGAACTCATAAAGCGGATTACTCTAGGGAGATACATACTGATTGGTAAACACGGTGTTTAAAAAATATCTGGATTTATTGCTTCTTTTGACAATGGAGGTGATGGTTGTGTGCTGGGGAGTCGGTTCCAATTCATAGTGACCCAGTATAGGGTTTCTGAGGTTGTAAATCTTTACGGGAGCAGAAAGCCTCATCTTTCTCCTGCGGAACAGCTGATAGATTTGAGCTGCTTGTGGTTAGTAGCTCAACTCAGAATCCACTATGTTAGAAGGTTTGCATCATATAACTTGCACTCATGTTTCCATCCTTCCTTCTCTGTGTGTCTGGTGCAGATGAAAAAAAAAAAGAGTAGATAACAATTTTTAACATACAAACTGGTTTTTTTCCAGAAACATTTTAACACATTAGTATCTTCATAGTTTTGCTGTTGCAGTTCTTTTCTCCCCTAAATTACTTTATATACTCTTCCTTGTCTCTCCTGTGTGAATCCTACTCAGCTTAACTCCCAGGATCTTGAATCTTCCTTGATCACCTCTATCTACAATAGTTCCTTCCTCTTCTGAAATAATAGAATGCTTAATGTTTTCTATCATTAACTTGCCGTTTATTATAAAGTCTTAGACTTTTGGCTATCACTAAGATTTAAGAGACCATCTCACTCACACTGCTTTTATTTTACAAATGAGGAAGCTATGCCCCATAAATTCCTTTAAATTTATTATAGTAGAGATTTCAGATAAAAATTTCATTCAATTAAGCCATGCTTTGTAACTTTAGGGGACAGTGAATTTATGTTAATGGGGGGAGGAACAACTCAGAAAAGGAGGCTGAGAATGGTTGCACAAATTGAAGAATTTAGTCAGTGTCACTGAATTGAACTTGCAGAAATAATTGAATTGCTGTATGTTTTGTTTGTTTATATTCTCAACAACAACAAGATAATAAAATAAAGGTTTGTGTTTATATGAAGAGGTTTTGATTAGATTAGACTTTTCTGTCTTTGGTTCACAGTTCCTTTTAGAGAAATACATAGTTTTCATTTTGAATATTAAGACAGTAGTGACTTTAACTTTGAGTTGCCTGGTTTTCTTACTTGGCATTAAGATAAATTTAAATATTGTTTTCCTTGCCTTTCAGTTACAGATGAGGACACAGTAAAGAGGTATTTTGCCAAGTTTGAAGAAAAATTTTTCCAAACGTGTGAAAAGGAACTTGCCAAAATCAACACATTTTATTCAGGTGAGTGTTCTTTTGGTATAATATTTAAGAAACCATTTCTGCTAATACAGAAAAAAAGAATCTACCATATCATTATGTGAACTTCTGGCCAACATATTTTATTGATGTTTGTTTTCCTTGCCATTGGAGTGCAAGTAAAAAATGTTAAAACTTTCATTGATTCATGTTTGACCCTTTCAAATTTTGTTTTATATATATAGGTATATACAGGCACCCACCTATCACTCCATCCAGTTGACTCCAATTCATAGTGACCCCGTGTATTTCCGAGGCTGAAAATCTTTACAGAGCATAAAGCTGATCTTTTCCTGCAGGGAGCTGCTGTTGGGCTTGAACTGTCAACTTTGTAGTCCATTGCTTATCCCGCAGTGCCACCAGAGCTCCTTATACACACATACACATATATATTGATGTCTGCTGTCTAGTCGTTCTGACTCATAGTGACCTTGTGTAGGGTTTCTGACAGCAGTTATTGGATTTAAACTTCCAACCTTGTAATTAGCAGTCCAGTGCTTATCTTACAGCACCATACCAGGATGGCAAGACTTCGTCTCTCATTCTTCAGATACATTGTCAGAAGGGACCAATCCCTGGAGAAAGATATGCTGGGTAAAGTGGAGGGTCAGCGAAAAGGGTGAGACCTCCCACCCCCATGCGATGGATTGGTACAGCTGCAGCAACAGTGGGCTCAAGCATAACAACAGTTGTGAGGATGGCTGGCAGCGTAGGATGGGGCAATGTTGCATTCTGTTGTGTATAATGTCGCTGTGAGTCAGAATTGATTTGTTGGGTTCCAACAACAACAAACAAGCTTCTTGTTGTTGTTGTTGTTGTTACATGCCATATAGGATTTCTAAGGAAGGACTGGTGATGTCTCAGCCGCTCTCCTTGAGGTTCAAACTGACCTTGTGGTCCTGTGCATTATTGTGCAGTACCACACCAGGACTCCTATACTTATATATAGATAGATTTACATATCTGTAATTATATATCTGGACTCTAGGATAAGCACTGGATTGTGATCCACAAGATAGGCAGTTCAAACCTACCAGCTGCTCTTTGAAAACCCTGTACAGGGTAGCTATGCGTTGGAATCAACTCGACAGCACTTAACAACAGCAACAACTGGGTTGCAACCATCTGTTTGAAAAATGGTGTCTTAGAAATGTGTATCTTGGTTACTTTTCATATATAATTTTAGATTGTTATTAGTAAAACCAGGGGGTTGTGATTTAATTAGGAGTCCCTGGGTGACACAGATGGGTCAGTGATCTACTGCTAGCCAAAAGTTTAACAGTTCAAACCCTCCCAGAAGCACCTTGGAAGACATTCCTGGTGATCTGCTTCTGTAAGGTTATACCTTGGAAACCATACGGAGCACAGTTGTACTGTACTCACATGGGGTCACCAAGAGCTGAAATTGACAGTGATTTAATGGCTTGTCTTTTTCTGTGTGTGTTGGCAGGATCATTGGAGTATGTCTATTGATGTCATCACAGAGTAGGTATAAATTAATAGTCTCCAGACTGATTTTTTTTTGCCAGGTCAGGAAGTAATAGGTAATATGAAGACATGATGGACAGAAATGGAATTTGGCACTTGTCCTAGATAGTATTATTTTTCTCCTTATTTAGGCTTCTACAGAGCAGTCCAGTACACTGCAGTCCTCAGATACTAGGGCACATGAAAATCTATAAATAATACAGGGGTGTGTTTAGTCATAAACCCACTTCCACCCATCTGCATCTCACAGATTATTTTATGGTCAGCAAAAAGAGGGTGGTTGAAGATGGATTGGAACTGAAAGTAAGAGTTCATTACCATTCAGTTTTTAAGTGAGCTGCATTCTTGACTGGAACCTTTTAAATGCCACAAACAAAATGCTGTGCTGTTTATTAGGCCTACTTCTAATTACAACAATAAAGCCAAGCAGCAACACAAACATAATATAGAATGACTGCTCCTAAAATCTGGACCTTTTTTTCATACCAGTTCTGTTACCTACCAGTTATATTTGGGATTTTTCAACCTTAAATTTCCTGGGTCTCGATGTACTTACTTATAAAATAAAACAAATTCTTATCAATAGAGAAAAGATTGAAGTTGTCAAGGGCTTCATTCTTCTTGGACCAACCATTAACACTCATGGAAGCAGCAGTCAAGAAATCAGACAAATCTGCTGCACAAGACCTTTTTAAAGTATTGAAGAACAAAGTTGTCAGCTTGAGTACCAAGGTGCGCCTGACCCAAGCCATGGTATTT